TAGTCATACATATGCAGACACACACGCACATATGCAAAAATTTAAATCTTTATAAACAGTACTACAGCCACGCTAGCAGCTCTGTGAGGCTGTACTTTGGCATGACAGTACTTTGAGCTAAATGGTAACGTCAGCATGCTAGCATGCTCACAATGACAATGCTAAGCAGGTGTAATGTTTACTATGTTGTATGTACCATTTCAGTTTCGCATGTTTGCATGCTAACATTTGCTAAACAGCCCTAAATCTAAAATGCAGCTGAGGCTGATGGGAATTAGTTTTGCAACTATTTGATCATAAAGCATTTCTACCAAATGATGGCGCTAGATGAAAAGTTAATGGATCACCAAAGTTACTACTAGTCATCCTGAGGGGGACATTCATTTATTCATTGCAGTCCATCCAATAGTTGTTGGGTTATTTCAGTGTTGGACCAACCGACCAACTGACATTTCAATCTCTTTTCCATCTTTAGTGCCACACTGCTAGCATGGCTAGAAATATGACAGATTTGGGAAGAAGGTGAAAGAAAGAAAGACATGAGGTTGGTGTGCAGAATTCAGGGAAGGATGAATTGACACTACACGTATCCATACTCACAAACATACAAACACACAACATACAAACACACACCTATGGGTCCCAGGTCAGGGAGCTCAAAATGGGCTCCATACACCTCCAGTATGTAGCCTCTGGTTTCTCCAAAAACATCCACACTGAAGCGCATCCCTTGCTGGACAAAACACATAAGAAGTGGTGGTGAAGGGAAATTTAGTGCTTTTATGAATCAAATGTAGTATGCTGTGTTTGGGAAATCACATGCTGCAACCACAAATCCCAGTGGTCAGGCTTTCTGTAGCCCAAACCTCTTTCCACTGTTCTTCATTTTTACAGCCACTTTTGAAAAGTACCAAATATGTCTTTCTAAATATGGTAAGTGGGGTGTGGGGGCAGCCACAGTGGTAGATTTCTGTGTGAAAACCAGGGAGATGAAAAACATAGACCTCACCTGGATGACACAGATCTCGTTCGGCTCGACCATCATTTTCCCAAACTCTGTGGTGATCAAGATCTCACCCTGCTGGGGGACTAGAGAGACAAACAGACAAAGAGAGGCAGAGTAGAGAAAATTTGAGGGAGAAGAAGGACTGGGGTTGAGCTATCATCAACAGAAAAAATAAAAAACATCAACAGCCCATTTTCTCACCAATCAGAAAGTCTCCGTCGGAGTTGTTGAAGCACCTGGAACAAGAGGAAAAAAAAGATAGAGCTTGGAGGTGGTCGTAACCACAGATGCTTGTAGCCATTTGATATGTGGAAATTCATCTGTTTGTTACATGATGGGACACATTCGCACACAAATACATGCTGACCTGTCAGCCATGGAGGTGTTGCAGGTGTACACGTGGACGCCAATGCCATTGCGAGATTTGGCATCTCCAGCGCCACAGACAGTGTGCAGACCCTGCGACATGCAGGTGCACAAAATCCCAAATCAATGAAGTGAAAATCAGCAGCTTTAATAAAACAATAATGTAGAAAAATAACGAGTTAAACTCACAGCCACAAAGTCCACTTTCTTCTCTGTAGATTTGGGAATGGTGAACGGCAGCCATCGCAGCTGTGAGAGAAACCTCAGTCAGAATCTATTTATACAATATATACAGAGAATTTAAAGGAATTCATTTGCGCAGAGAAGCCCTTAAAACACATTTTCTCAATCATCTTCTTACTATAAGTGAAGGGATCCTACATGAACACACACAATGTTCTGCCAAAGCAGTGGTTATTCCACATAAGAGATTTCTGTACTTCTTGTGTTTCTTATTGCTTTTTCTGACTGGTTTGAAGTGGACGGGGCTCTGCTAGAAATGTTGCTTAGGTCTGTTCACCAATTAGCAACATTTGAACAGAAAAGAAACAGTTGTGGGTTTCTTTGCTTAAATTGCCAAAACTATCAATCCAATAAAGACCCACACAGTCCCAATGAAGCAGATGAGTTTTGAGAGTTAAAGGAATAAGGATCTTTTGAACATTTTGGTGGATTTTGGCAGAGCCAGGCTAGCCGTTTCCACCTGTTTCCAGCTAAGCTAAGCTACCCAACTGCTGGCTGTAGTTTCATACTTACTGTACAGACTTGAGAGTGGTATCTGGCTCTTTGCAAAAAAAAACCCAAATAAGCCGATTGCCCTATTCTTTTGAAATGATACCTAAAGATGTTGTGTTAACTTTAACTTTGATTTAATTGTGAGTAATTAATGTTATAGAGAAGCTGAAAATCTTCCTTTTGAGCTTTTATATACCTGGTTAGGGTCAGGCTCAACCTCATTCCAGTTGTCTGTTAGATTTCCATTGGGCACTGGGGTAAAAGGCTTATGTTTGACAGATGGCAAGACACGGTAGAACCAACTGGACAGAGAAAAAGAACCAGTGTTAAGTCATGTCTTATTTCTGAGCTCTGTTTGGTCTTAGAGTGATAAGTAAACTGATTTAAATGTCAGAAACAGATGAATACCTCTTCTTATTGGCTGACCGTGGGCAGGTGAAGGCAGAGCCAGAGAGCTGCTCAGCATAGAGGCCGTAGGGACAGACCTGAGGATTGTTCTGTAGAGACATAATATAAACATTATACAGACATAATAGGGTGTTAATACTGTGTGTTATGTAGGACTGGAAGGTGTCTCTGAAGCTCAGGTTTCAACAAATGTTAAAATTACAATACAGGGAAGTCTTAAAACAGGGGGTACTGGTAGATTTTGACTTGTGTGGTCATCATCTAATGTTGAAACAGTCAAATAATGATGATTGAGTCAATAGATGTGCAGAAGGAAAGCAAGCTGGAGCCAATTATACACCTCTTGGGATCAGATTTTCACGTTACCTGTCCCTCCGGTAAAGATCCAGGACAGCGAGGGTCTTCAGAAGAGAACTCGTTCCCAAAACCACTCATGTACTGCAAAAGAAAGACAAACATCCAACACTCAAGTTAAAGGCAGGGTAGGTAGGTTTGAGAAACCAGCCAGAAACTGCTGGATTTTGAAAGTATCCAACAGAGAAACTCCCACCCCCTCCCTTCTGGGCTCCTTCCAAAGCCACGCCCCCAAAACACATGAACGCGCGTTGCCGACACCGCAGGAGGACGAGGACAGTGTGACGAGCGGAGAGCAGAGGCTCAAATCAGGGGTAAGAAAACATCTAACTTTATTATAAAAATAAACAAAAAACCCGGCTGTTAGTACTCACTATCAAGCTAGCATGTTATTGTTGGGTAGGTTTAAAAAGACCGAGTGTTAATCAGTAACGAGCTGGCTAGCTAACTGTTAGCAGCAGGTAGCTGTGCCAGCAGCTGCGGTAACATTGGGCAAAGCTAAAAACAGGCTGATACACATTTTCCTGTTTCCATCAGTTACACAACACGAAGGTGTATTTCGTGTTACACTCATAACATGTACGTAGTTTTGCATGTTAGAGCTTCCATGGTGACAGCATTATTGTCTCTGATGAGGACTGCACCCCAGAGCCAAGCACAAACCGGGACAGGCCCGGATCAAGGCGAAGCAGAGGAGGGAGGGCTGCCGGGGTCCGAGGAAGAAGAGGCAGGACGGGGAGGACGAGGTGCAAGCTAAGGAGCACATCTTCTAGGACCTGCGTCGAGCTTCATACTCAACAATAGCATATGAACAGGTATATCTATATATATTTAATATTAAGTCTATTATCTCCCAGTGTACTTGTCTCAATGTTTCTCTGGTGTTTCCCCCTAAGCCCTTTGACTGTCAAAAATAAAGTGCTTTATAAATGTAATCCATCACTTGTTATTACTTTTTTATTATCGTTTACTGATTACAACAACTAACTACAGCTCTGCTTCAGCCATCGGCTCATCTGTGTCATGTACATTGACCTGGTGTGTAATGTGGACACAGAAGTCCTGTTAGAGAACAACAAACCCCCGTTAAATAAAAATATCTGATCGTGTTGATGAATGTTCTTTCCAATTACACCGATCTTTCCAATTTGGGGTTCTAACAACTATATGTTCCTTTACAGGCCAGAATCTGAAGACTGTGGACAACATCCAGACGACAGTGTTTCCATGCACCACACAAGGCTGACCTTCCAGACCCAGGACAGAGTAACAGTTAGTTCAGTCAGGCAGCATACAGACGGTTTGTAGTGTGGCAATGTGGAGCACTTGGTCACAGAGTCGTGATACTAAGTTGCTGTTTCTAGAAGATATGCAACTTCTCCTGATCCCAGGACAATACAGAGGTTTAATCCTAGCAGGGTGTAAATGTAATGTCACCAACTGCTACACAAATAATTCCCTCCACTATGTGAATGAATACCTGTACATTT